GATAAAATGATGTGCTATATTTGTGTTCTTTAGTGATTTCGTTGTCTACTAGCGGTGTCATTTAAGCTTTGCTTCTTCTTGCTCACTGTGACTTTTCTGCTTTAAGTTTACTACCATGGGAAGGATAACTAAATTGCTTATTGTCATATGTGTTGAAATCTGATGCCTTTGCTGTGGTTTTTTGAACGGAAGAATATTATTTTAGGTGATAAATTTATATATCGTGTGATTGGCTCATTTCCGATTTTGACTTATTTATGTTCAACTTGTCATTTATGAGAATGAGTACGTTGAAACTTGAGTTTAAGCCTTGTAAAAGTTGTTCGAGTCCTATTTCTTGTCCAAAGGCCGAGAGTTTGCATTAGATTGCTTTAGTTCTTTTTTTTTTGTTTGTTGTGTAGGTTTGAGCATTTGTTTAATTTTAATTAGATTCAAGCAGGTTAGGCGGTAGTGTGTTCTCCAATATGCTCCAGTGGGTTGTTTATGGGTCCCTTTTTTTTTTTTTTTCATGAAAAAAAATGGATATACGTGAGGTGTGTACTGCTAGTAAAATAGACAAGAATGTCTCTCTCCCAATTAATCAACCTTTTAATTATAAGTTTAGCTATCAGTTAGAGTTTGCTCTGTTTGGGGTCAGTTCTCATGGTCTATTTGGAAGAGGAGTCAAAATGCTTCATTTTATTATGTTTTGATGATTGTTTGCGTTCAATAGGATTCACGAATGGGATTTTTTTTGTGTCGTCAGAAAAAGCTCAACTAGCATGTGCTATGAGATAATTGTTGAATGATTATGTTAGTAGATGGTTTAGTTGTTCACTACCTTTGAATCTCACCTTGGAATTTGTCTTATCAAATTTTCTTAGCTATCTTTGGCATATAAATTATCTTATTTTCATCATGTGAATATTTTGGATAAAGTTCTTTCATTAACTTGCTATTTGTTCTTTGTCATTTGCTTTGACTAATTCTTATCGTCGTTTTCGTCGCATGTGAAATCTGTCCGAGTTCGCCACGAACTCATTCCATTCCACTTGCATCTCGAGAGAGAGCCATAAAGGCTCAAATTCCTCTTTTCGTGTCGGCCAGCCATATTAAAGTCGACGAACAGGTCCCGGAGTTGAAAGGACATGCAACAATTTGGAGAATTGAAAATTGGGCCAATTTTAATTTCAGAAGATTGTATTTTGTTATTTTTGGGCCTTTGTTATTTTATTTTTATCTTATTAGTATTTAGGACAGGTGGAAGATGGGCCTAAGGTCCAAAGAAATAACTTTTATGTTAGTTTAGGACAAGTGCAGATAACTCAAATGGGCCGGAGGCCCAAAACAAAAATGGGCCCAAATACTGGTCCAGGCGGACAGAAACCAGATTTGGGTCCCACTCTCTTTCCCTCTTTACTTTATTATGTTCGTGTGCTCGTTAATATTTGCCGCTTAATCTTAAGGTCTTTAAAAACTCAAATCCCCAAAAGATACCCATTTTTTGACATTATAACTCAACTAAATCAATCACTTTTGATGAGGCCTAGAAATTTAATTTTGTAAGATAGTTCACTTAGATAATATTCAAATATTTCCTCTTTTCCCCTTTAAAATAGTTTTAATTACAAAACAACTCAATTTCGCAAGTCAAGCTGAGTTAAAATTATTTTAGCCAAATAAATTAGTTGTCGGATAACCGCATTAGCGGATATTCTAGGTGCTTTAAAAACCTTCCTAGAATATTAATAGGAACCTCGAACCTCCTTTATAGTTTTCAATAGATTTACTGTTTTAGTCTTTTGAAAATAATAGTTTTCTTGATTTTTCTTAAAAATTAAGTGGCGACTCTTAAACTAGTCAAAAATATATTTTTAAATAAAACAGTTATATTTAGTTTGCTATTAGACTCATTTATGTATTTTCAAAAAAGTTTTAATTAACAAAATACAAATAAGACTCAGAGCTTGACATTGCTGCTAAAAACCGCTTCTATTTATAATCGTTTTTTAAAATAGCTTTTCAAAAAAAGCAATTTGTGTTTGACTTGTTAATTTGAAAGATGCTTTGATAAACAATTTGTGTTAGACTAATTTTAAAAAATATGTTTTTGAGAGTCAAATTACGAAAAAGGGCAAGTATTAATGTGCTTTTAATGTTATGATTATTTTATAGAGACCAACTATTTTAAACATCTAATACAAAAACTTTAATTACATTTTTAATTTAATTAATTAAAATATACATATTCAAATTTTCAATCAAACAAGACTCTTAACCAACAAGAGAAAATCAGGAAGATAATCTTTCAAAATAAGATAAAATTTCTTAATATGTATGTTACAAAGATTAGGAGTCTCAAAAATAGGATATTCTCTTTCTTCTTCTTAAAAATACAAGTGACTGATTGTGCATAGCAAAAGTTAGAGGACATAAATGTAAAATAAGGTCAAATTACAGGGTATATTTATGTGTTATGTCTAAAATAAAGCCAGCACTAAAGGTCAATTTGACTTTTGACTTTTTAAATACTTTTTCAGCTTTAAAAAAGTGTTTTGTGTTATTCAAACACTTCAAAAACCAAAAAAAAAATAGTTTAAAAGCCAAAAACTACTAAAAATAAGTCAATTCAAACACCCACTAAAAATTGTTTTAGACCATAAATTTTATAAATCTTTTTTTAAAATTTCGTGTCAAGTCAAATGATGCCATATAAAACAAGATGGAGGAAGTAAACGCCTCATCTCACACTCCATCCTTCTAAAAACATTACATAAGATTATGTAAATAATGATAAAATTTCTCTCTCATTAAATTAATAAATTAAATGCATTTACTTCCTCTTCAATCCTATCATTCCACCTCTATACCAATTTGCTTTATATTTTTCATTGTTTCACTTTCTAATTTCAATTTGGTTTATCTGAATAAGCAATACAAACTTTATTCCTACCTCGTGTAGTTGGTGAGACTGTTTCCTATATATCCTCGGTTCAACTTGAATTTACATAACAAATATTTAAAAGAGTAGTAATTTTGTGAAAATAAATATAAAAAAGACAGAGATGGTTGTTTTCTTCTTACTTCTATCAGTCAAGTATCCAAAAAACACATTATATAACTAGGACTCACACTACACTAGCATTGGATAAAAACCATTTTATTAAGAAAAATGGCTGCATTGATCTGCATCTTCATTGGTTTAGTCCACATCAAAATCATGATTTTAAAGTGTTATATTCTAGGTGTTTTGATGATCCTCACAAATGCAGGGACCTGGTCCCTGGCAGAGTGCTCTCGTCCAGATTCAAATGGGGTACAACTGTAAAGCTTTCATGTCAGGTGGTAGGTGAAAAACGCAGTGTACTGCACCACCAGGAAGAGCGGATGGACTATCTATTTGAGTGTCTCACAAATGCAGGGACCTGGTCCCTGGCTGAGTTCTCTCGTCCAAAGATCTAAAATGGGATACAGCTGAAAAGTTGTCACGTCAGAGGTTGGTGAGGCCGTCAGTGTACCGCACCAATCAGAACGGACGAGGTTGTTTGTCCAACGGTTAATAACTCTTTATGGTTGACATAGTCAACATGACAAACAACAAATTAATTCATTCATTCAAAAGGAGAGAGATCTAGCACGTCTTCTCAAGAACTTACTAAGAAAAGTTTGCAAGGGACCTGGTTCCTGCAAGACTGCGATATGAAAAGGTGACAAGACAGCCGTCAGAAAAGCTGCCACCTCTGATGTGGCAGGTGCACAACTTTCCTGAACAGTAGGCTCTCAGCCAATGGGTGGTCCCAAGGGTTTTGTGTTCACTTTGATATATTCTCTTAACACAAAACAAAAACTTAAGATTTGGCAAACAAAACTTGAATTTTCAGAGAAAATTCATAAGCTTGAAAAGAAGGCCATCTTCAAGGAAGAACATTGCTCAACTCAACAAAGGGACCTGATAGAGTGAAGAAGAGTCTTTGTTGTATTTTGAGCTTTGTGTCTTATGTGCTTACATTGTAAATTTGTTCCTAATCTATAAAGGATTCATATCTTGTTTCGGTTTCTAAAAATCTAAATCGTCCAGAGGGTGGTGGTTCAGTGGGCAACCTGTGTGTTGCTTAGTCAAAATCTAAATCATCTAGAGTTAGGTGGTTTAGTGGGCGGTGTGGTATTCGCTTAGAAAAGTCTATATTAATCAGTGAGGGTTAGTATAGTGGGCAGTGTTGTATCTACTCTGGCTCAGCTAAGTGATCTCATTTTGTAAACTGGCTTTTACTTTTGCTTGGAGAAGATTAGTGGAAGCAGTTTGAAAAATCCTGTGAGACAGGTTGTGGTTTTACTCCCTTGAGCAAGGAGGTTTCCACGTAAAACACTTGTGCAGATCTTACTTTCAGCTGTTTATTTTCTGCACATTTTTAGTTACTATTCTTGCTCAGTCAACTAGTCAAGGACCAGGTCCTTGACTGACAGTGGACGCATACATTCCAACATAAAGAAAAACCAAACTAAAGTGCACTAGCATTTACAGTCGAGCAACTCCAGCTTTTAGAAGAAAAAAAATATTATAAATTTAAACCGTAAAAATTTTTCTTCCATCTGGAAGAAATTTTGGAAGAACTACAGGGCTATCAGTTATTAGGATCTCAAATTTGTATGATTAAGTGAATGTAAGAATTTAAAATGCACACATGATTGTGTTATCTGTTCATAGATCAAAAGCCATTAGAGTTGTGTGAATTTTAACCAGTCGATTATACTCAAATGCTTGACAGATGACTTGTATCAAGAAATTAAAGACAAACTAAGCAGCATATACAGAACGGGAGTACCCGAGCTCTAATATGTAGAATGTTCACTCTCAATTGCTTTTCGAAGTACTGTAATCCCAAAACCAAAAAAGAAGGTTGAATATCACATAGTTATGAATTACTAACATGAACTCTAGTGACTGCACTCAGTGGCCAGTGCAAGTGTATATCTTCGTAAATCATCAGCTATTGATGTCTGCATTTTCATCAGTAATTGGTTCAAATGTTTGGATTTCGACCAATATGCCCATTAGGCAGTCCATTAGGAACTAAGAGTTGATTATCAACATTTTCCTCATTATTAGCGCCTCCATCTTGATTATCATTATTTTCCTCATTAGCGCCTCCAGCTTGATCAACATTTTCCTCATTAGGGCCTCCAGCTTGATCAGCATTTTCCTCATTAAGGCCTCCAGCTTGATCAACATTTTCCTCATTAGGGCCTCCAGCTTGATCAGCATTTTCCTCATTAAGGCCTCCAGCTTGATCAACATTTTCCTCATTAGGGCCTCCATCTTGATTATCATTATTTTCCTCATTAGCGCCTCCATCTTGATTATCAGCATTTTCCTCATTATTAGCGCCTCCATCTTGATTATCATTATTTTCCTCATTAGCGCCTCCAGCTTGATCAACATTTTCCTCATTAGGGCCTCCAGCTTGATCAACATTTTCCTCATTAGGGCCTCCATCTTGATCAACATTTTCCTCATTAGGGCCTCCATCTTGATCACCATTTTCCTCATAAGGATCTAAGATTTGACCATTAGGGTAAGTAAGCTTCTCCCTGCCACAAAATAATCATTTGTATTAGTAACACCTTACAACACAGCATATCGCATATGCATAGTCTCATTTTTCCAATTAAACTTACAACATCATCAAGAATTGTCCTTCCTCATAACGACTGCCTTGGGGGACTGCAATCTGGCGAAAGGAAAATTCTGTTTAAGCAACAAGCAACAACACACACAAAAAAAAAAAAAGGAAATGCAAATCCTCATGTTCATGAGAATCGATCAGATTAATATCTTACAAATTTCCACCCGAGCCGATCCCTACAGTTGACACAGAAAGTATCGACTACGGTATTGCCCTCTAGTAGTTGATGATATGACTCATTCTCTGGTACTTCAACATTAAACCTGCATATATATATACCTCAGACTGCAGATAGTTTTAAAAATAGGTAGCGTGAAATCATGAGACTTACATATCAGTAAAGATCCCTTGTAGCACGCAGGTTAGCTCCTGCAAAGTGTACAAAAGATGAAAATAAGTAGCAAATTATAACAGAGATACAATATTATATCTTACATATTGAAATCAGTAGCAAAGAATAATTGCAAAAAGAATAGATGGAAAAGCAGATGAAAATAGAATCCATACTTCATCAATTCCAACGTAATCTTTGAGGAATGCAACTCCACTTCCACATCCGCAATGGAAGTGATAATCAAAAGAAGGCATTCTGAATATCAAATCTGGAAAATGGAAAACTCAAGAAAGTTGAGAGAATGGAATGTTGATTCAGAAAAGACACTTCTTGAGGAGAGGGAAATTTGAACAAATTCTTTTTCTTTTTCACCGACTTAAAGTGTAGAGAATAAAATGCCGTTGCGTTTCTTTTTCTTTTTCTCACTAGGAAAATACAGTTGTATTTCAGTTTTGCATAACAAAAAGAGCAACTGTATTTCGACAAATCTCAATTTTGATCTCAAAAATGACTCCCCATTTATTAATGCATCAAAAATGGATGCGATCAAACTTTGAGAAAAGACTCAGTTGACATAATATCTCAAATGGTCACTCAACTACGGATAACTTTCTCAAAAGTCACTCAACTATGACTAGTTTTCTTATAAAGTTACTCAACTTTGTTTTATAACTCAAAAATCACTCAACTACGTGTAATTATCTTAGAAAATTACTCAACTATTGATATTTTACATAGAACGCCACCCCACCAATTTAGATAATTTTTTCATTAAATTTTGTTGACGAAAAATTATTTTAAGCTAAATTTTTAAGAAATAAAAAAGTTCTCATTGTTATATTTTTATTGATATGTCCCACTAAAATTAAGTAAATATATAATACAACAAAATTTAATATTATAGTTAGTAAAACAAAGTTATATCTAAAGTACCAATATAAATTATAAATACAGAAACAAACAACTCAATGAAATGATTAAAATTGACACTTTTTTTATATTTTAAAAATCTAGTATAAAATAAAGGCAAAATACATATATTGGACCCTAAACTTGGCTTCAAATTTTAACTTTGACCTCCAACTTTCATAGTGCACAAATAGGCACTTTAACTTGTATAAAATAGAACAAATAGACACACATGTCCTACATGGCATCCTACATGTCATTTTTTGTCCTACGTGGTGTCCTACGTGTATTGTGCCATGTAGGACTCGTGTGTTTACTTGTTCTACTTTATACAAGTTAAAGTGCCTATTTGTGCACTATGAAAGTTGGAGGTCAAAGTTAAAATTTGAAGCCAAGTTTAAGGTCCAATATATGTATTATGCCTAAAATAAAAATGGCATGTCAATAAAATTTAATGAAAAAATTATTTAGATTGGTAAAGTGACTTTTTAAGATGGACAAATTACTTAACTACACTCATTTACTTACCTTAATATCTATTTATCCCTACTTATTTTAAAATTTTCAAAAATCCCTTATTTTACCTATGTATCCCGCATGTATCCCGTGCACAACGCTATGTATCCCACTATGTGGAATGTATCAAACGCTATGTATCCCGCATGTATCCCGTTCACAACGCTATGTATCCCGCTGTGTGGAATGTATCAAACCTAATGTATCCCGCTATGTGGAATGTATCAAACCTAATGTATCCCGTGCACAACGCTATGTATCCCGCAAACATCATTTTTAAGGGATTTTTGGTAAATAAAAAACTAGAAGGGATAGGATGTTATTTAGTACTTATAATATGTGGTTCCTATAATTTATACTTTTAAGATTATAGTGAATTGCTTGAATACTTGACACTGGGGGTGGCAATTTCAGCCCATATAAGTGAAATGAAACCATTTTGCCCATATGAAATTAAATGGATCACTCATATTTTCTTTTCTTTTCTTAAATGGGTTAATATGTTCTTCAACCTATTTAAGCTCATACAAATATGGACAAAATGGGTTAACATGAAAATCCATATCCAGCCCATATAAGTGAAATGAAACAGATTTTTTTTTGTTTTTGGAAAACAAAAATATTTAGGGGTCGGTTGGTGGAAGGTGGGGGGTTGGGGGTGCCCGGGGGGGGGGGGGTAATTTTTATTTTTTTTGAAAAACAGATCTTTTCTTTTGTTTTTGGAAAAAAAAAATTAGGGGTAGGTTGGTGGCCGGTGGGGGGGGGGGGTGCCCTGGGGAGGGGGTAAATTTTTTTCGTTTTTGGAAAACAAAAAAAATTTAGAGGTAGGTTGGTGGAAGGGGTAAATTTATTTTTTTTGGAAAAACATTTTTTTTTATTTTTGGAAAACAAAGAAAAACTAGGGGTAGGTTGGTGGAAGATGGGAGGGGAGGGGGGGGTGCCCGGGGGAGGGGGTAAATTTTTTTTGTTTTTGGAAAACAAAAAATATTAGGGGTAGGTTGGAGGAAGGTGGGGGGGGGTGCCCGGGGGAGGGGGTAAATTTTTTTTTTGAAAAATAGATTTTTTAAATGGGTTGAAACCATTTTACCCAAACCATATTTGCCCATATTCTATTTGGGTGGATTGTAATCCAAACCATTTTTACTCAACTCATATTCAATCCATCCAAATTCGATCCAATCCAACCATTTGCCACCCCTACTTGACACATGACTTGAATATAGCGAATGGTAGATCTAACAAGTAAGTGGTCAGTCTCAAAAATGAATTGATATTATATCTGAAGTACCAATATAAATTATAAATACAGAAACAAGCAACTCAATAGTGTATTTTATATAAGAAAATTAACTTATAATTGGGTAATCAGTTCATTATGTCAACGTTTGAACAGTAGCTAGACAATAACAAAGATTCCAATGTTTTTAATTATATAAGAAAAATTAAAGTAGCAAATTATGTCGTCATATAAGAAGTAAATATCCACGTCTTGAAAATAAGCAGCAACTAACCACTAATCTAGTAGTGCAATCTTATGAACCGAAGGACATTATTTGTACAAATCCGTTTGAAGCACTCGAGGTGGAGAAAGAATTAGAGTTAGTTGATTCTAGTCGTACATATATCTCTAATCGTGAAGTAGCTAAGATTATTCAAAAAAGTGAGGCTGCCATGTTGCTCAAACCCATTTCAGCAATCACGCCACCCATGGTCACATCGAACACCTCAGCTCATGAGGTCTCGAAAGAAAAGCAAAGGGAGATGAGTACTCCTAGGTGGGCTGATTTGGTTGATGAAGAAGAGCATGTTTCACCTCCGCTTTCGAATAGAAAATTAAGTCCATTAGCTTTGGAATTTGTAACTAAAAGTATAATTGCAAAGAAGAAATAGCAGGAGGCCTTAGCATCAGAATTTAGTCCAACTAGGGCTTATGATAGTGATTTGGGCGATGATTCTTTTGATGAGGATGAGGAAAAAAATAGGTTGGACATATGCTTTGATAAAGTGGTTGGGGATGGGGATATCTCACTTCGACATCAAAGAAGTGGAAGCAACAAAAATAAAGAGAAGACACATGGAAGGCAGCACAGTTGGGATGGTAAAGTGACAGGAGAGTTTGTTACAATGCACCTACCAATGCGACTAACAAAGCAGAGCCATATGACAGTGTCAATAGTTTCAACAAGATCCAATACATCCAAGAAGAAATGATGAGCTATCAAGTTTTGTTGGACAAATTTGAAGAAGAAGACACGATGAAAATACTTCAGGTTACTTTAGATGGGCTATCTATCAATTTTAATTCACGCATTTGTAAAAGTAAGTTTGAGGTTGATAACTCAACTTTCTTCTTCGATTTTATATTTGTGCATTTTTCAAGTATTCTCATTTGAATATCATCATAGAGTGTATTACAAATTATGTGATGATCATAGAATACCTAGTTCTCTCTAGCTCTTATTTTTTTCATGCTTGTTAATTAGTTGAGGTTCGTTGCCTCATTAGGATTGACAAGGTAAGGTCTAGGCCCCCTTGCTTGTACTTATTTCTATTGAGGATTTTTATTTTAATAAAAAACTGCTAGACACTCTGTCTAGTGGTATAAATTAAAAAAAATTGACATACATTTAAAATGAAGTCTTGATAAATGCATATTACTGCAAATCTAAATTTAATAAAATTATTTAGATTGATTAAGTGACTTTCTAAGATAGTTTAAATGGTAGATTATAGTGAATTGCTTGAATACTTGACACATGACTAGAATATAGAGAATGGTAGATCTAACTAGTAAGTGTTCAGTCTCCAAAATGAATTGTTTGTATTTTATTTTTAATATTGTTTATTCGAAACAACCTCTCTACATCATCACTCAGAGGTAAATGTAAGGTGTATACACTATTTCCCTAGACCCCACCGTATGGGACTACACTGGGTATTATGTTGTGAAGTAAATAGTACTGAACTTACATCCAAGATAAATATTCTCTCAAAAAGATTTAGTGCATTGGTTATGGGTTCGTGGAAATTCAATTGTTCTAGTTCATATTTTGTATTTGTCTAAAAAATTCATAAAATCAGTACATATTAGGAACTAAGTGATAAATTAGTGTTTTCGAAAATGATGATAGTTAATAACAAGGGTAAATTAGGATTTAAATATAAATTATCTCTTGATTTTCTAAATTGAAGAACTAACTATTTTTAGTATAGTGACAAGTATGTCTTAAAAACGTTTTTTCCTCTTGCTTATTCCAGCTATTTTCTCTTGAAAGTTTCAACAGAATCCAAGTTGAGATGAGCTCTGTTTTGATCTTAACTAATGCAGATGTTTGTTGCATTAAATCAAATACTGTCAACAAAGTCTAAGAAAATATCAGTAATCCATTAGTACTTTTAACCTATGTTGCTCGGACAAATGCCAACGGGTGTGTCAGATTCACCAAAAGTAGTGTATTTTTGAAGAATCCGAGACGGGTGCAGCATCAAAAGTGAAGAGTCCGCGCAACTAAGCTTTTAACCAGTTGATTATACTCAAAAATGCTTGATAGATGACTTGTATCGAGAAATTTAAGCCAAACTAAGCAGCATATAGAGAACATTAGTACCCGAGCTCAAACATGTAAAGAGTTCAGTATCAATTGGTTTATTCCAACCTGAAGTAATACCATATGTAGTGCAATCTCAAAACAGAACATCACACAATTATGAATTATAGCATTTTGTATAAGCAGAATATCAGAATGAGTAGGCTATCAATGTCTGCATTTTCATCAATATTATCTATTCCATCAGCCACTTGATCTATATCTTCGGTCGTTTCATTGGCCGGCCTCCATCTTGATCATGATTCTGTCCATTAGCGCCTCCATCTTGATCAACATTTTGCTCATTAGCGCCTCCATCTTGATCAACATTTTGCTCATTAGCGCCTCCATCTTGAACAACATTTTGCTCATTAGTGCCTCCATCTTGATCAACATTTTGCTCATTAGCGCCTCCACCTTGATCAACATTTTGCTCATTAGCGCCTCCACCTTGATCAACATTTTGCTCATTAGCGCCTCCACCTTGATCAACATTTTGCTCATTAGCGCCTCCACCTTGATCAACATTTTGCTCATTAGCGCCTTCACCTTGATCAACATTTTGCTCATTAGCGCCTCCACCTTGATACACATTTTGCTCATTAGCACCTCCACCTTGATCAACATTTTTCTCATTATCGCGTCTTTTTTGATCATGCAACGTTACATCATCAAAGAAACTAACCTCCTTCCTGCCACAAAATACTCATTTGAATTAACACCTTACAAGTCATACCACATATTATCATGTGCAGACAGTCTCAATCTGCAAATTCGTAATTAGAAACTTACAATGTCAGATAGAATCCTCCTACTCTACGACTCCTAGACGGTTGGGAGGCTGCAATCTGGAGAAATCATAAATTCTGTAATTTAAGAGGGAAAAAAAAGAGCAACAAAATCGTCTTGTTATCATGAAACTCAATGATCTTTAATATTACTAGTATCTTACAAGTTTCCATCCGAGCAGTTTTTTACAGTTAGCACAGTAAGCCTTGGCTAGGGTCATGCCATCTTTAATATATTGCTCGTTCTGTGCTTCTTTAACATTATACCTGCATATATGGCTCATTAGGCAATAAATAAAATCTCAAGATGTTGAAATTGCACGAGACTTACACTTCAGTAAAAAACCCTGCATTCACTAAGTCATCTACCTGCAATGTTTATAACACAAGAAAATAAGTTGATTCTGAGCTTAGTCAAGAAATATAACAAGTAGTGCTGAATTCATGATACAACTAGCTGCAGAAATTAAGGGATTGAATCGTACATATTGTCATCAAAAGACACCACATACTGATCCAATAGAACAATAAGTTGGTTCTATTTGTTTTTTTCTTTATAAGCGAATAGAACAATTCAGAAGAAATTAATTGAAAATTTGAAGTATCAAAGAACCACAAATCGACAGCAAGAAATCATACAGTAGAAATCCTTACAGTGTCATGGTAATCATGAACGAGTGCAACTTCAGTTCCGCAGTTATAACAGTAGATGTGATCATGCGGAGACATGTTTCACCTATTACAGAAAAAAGAAGAAAATGTAAGAGAAATATAAAAGCTAAAAAATCAATGGAAAGAAGAGACTAACTTCTCACCAGGGAGAAAAGAGCTGGTAGATCAATCAGAATCCAATAAAACAAAATTCAGTTCTTGATTCTTGAATACTACTAATTGAGAAGAGCTCTGTTTTGAAATGGGTTCACCAGCTCTGTTTTATAATCGCTCTGAAAAGAGTTGGTTGATCAGTGAGAATCTAAGAACTGAGAAGAGCTCTGTTTTAAAATGGGTGAAAATTATAACAGAAAAATCAGTTCTTGATTGTTGAATATTACTAATTGAGAAGAACTCTGTTTTGAAATGGCTTCACCAGCTCTGTTTTATAATCGCTCTGAAAAGAGCTGGTTGATCAGTGAGAATCTACTAATTGAGAAGAGCTCTGTTTTAAAATGGGTGAAAATTATAACAGAAAAATCAGTTCTTGATTGTTGAATATTACTAATTGAGAAGAGCTCTGTTTTGAAATGGCTTCACCAGCTCTGTTTTATAATTGCTCTGAAAAGAGTTGGTTGATCAATGAGAATCTACTAATTGAGAAGAGCTCTGTTTTGAAATGGGTGGGAATTATAACAGAAAAATCAGTTCTTGATTCTTGAATACAACTAATTGAGAAGAGCTCTGTTTTGAAATCGCTCTGTAATTGAACAAATTTTCTTGTGTGAATTTCAATGGTTAAACTAAAAACTTATCAGAGTATTAATGCGGAATGATAGATTGCCTGACATATTATTTAATTATGATTAGTTAATATATATTTATATGTTTATTATATTAAATTTTCTCTCTAGGCATAAGTTCAGTAATAGATCCCAAGGCACAAGTTATGCGTTAGTATTAATTTCTCTCTAGGCACAAGTTTTCGGATTTGTGTAATATAATTTATATAATGTAATTTCTCTTACGTCTACTTGCAGTCCCTACTGTGGCCCTTAGGCGGCCGCTGCCTTCTACTTGCAGTCCCTACTGTGGCCTCCAACTCATTTGTTTATTTGTTATTATATTATACTTACTCTGTCACATTTTATGTATTTTTATTTGGTCGAATATTTATGTAAAATATAGAATAAAATTTAATTTTATAATTTTAAATATAAAAAATAGATTTTATAATTTTAAATATAATATATCATTTCTATCAGATAATGTTATTAAAGACAAAATATGAACATTAAAACTAAAAATTGATTTTAACATAGAAATGTGATATTTTTATTTTAAAGTTAATTTAAAAGGCACTGTATCTATTCCCTAGTGTGTAGGACATATAGTTAGGTAAGGTAGACCATCATAGTTTTCATTTTTGTGAGGATTGAACACTTGAGTAGTTTGTGTGAATAATCAATTGTTTTGTAGATTTCAGTGGAATTATTTACATGAGAGGAGTAGTCATGTAATGTACATAAAAGTCTCAAGAAGCATCACCCAAAATGGAAACTTGTCAATTAGATCTAATTAAACAGTAGTAACATGTAGTTTGTAACTTCACCAAGAATTATAGCATTTTGTATAAGCAGAATATCAGCGTCTGCATTTTCATCAATATCATCTATTCCATCAGTCAGTTGATCTATTTCTTCCTTCGTTTCATTGGCGGGCCTCCATCTTGATCATTAGGACTCTGGTCATTAGCGCCTCCATCTTGATCAGCATTTTGCTCATTAGCGCCCACATCTTGATAATCGTGTTCATTAGGAACCTGTTGATAAATATATATATAATTGATTGTTCTATCTGCTCATAAATCAACTCCAGGGTGATGGTAAAAGCCATTAGATAAAAACCTGTTCATTAGGACCTCCATCTTGATCATTAGCACATCCATCTTGACCATTAGGACCTCCATCTTGATCATTAGCATCTCCATCTTGATCATTAGGACCTCCATCTTTATCATTAGGACCTCCATCTTGAGCATTTGCGCCTCCAACATGAGCATTTGCGCCTCCAACTTGAGCATTAGGCCCTCCAACTTGAGCATTAGCGCCTCCAACTTGATTAAGGCCCCGTCGATATGCACTTCCTAAGATATAACTTCGCAACGTTACACGATTCCTGAACATAATCACGGCACTGCCACAAAAAACTCATTTGAATCAACACCTTACAAGTCATCATATATATGTGTGTAAAGACAGTCTCAATTTGCAAATTTGTAATTAGAAACTTACACTTTCATAAAGAATCTTCCTTCTTTGAAATAGTCTGTCTGTTTGGAAGCTGCAATCTGAAGAAATCATCATAGATTTTGTATTTTAGTAAAAATAGAGGAGCAACCTGTTATCATGAAAATGAAATGCTCTTTAATATTACTAGTATCTTACAAGTTTCCACCCGATTAGCGAATTACATTGGAGACAGTAAGTTTCGGCTGTGGTTAGGTTATTTCCATCTTCAAGTAGACGAAATATAGGCTGGTCTACTACAACAACATATTTCCTGGATATAATACACACAACTCAGAAAAAAGCTTAGGCAAATCACATCACAAGATTTCCGAATTTCCAAGACTTACAGTGTTTTAAAGTACCCTCCATAACGTAGGTCCTGCAGCTGGACAAGAAAAGTTGTTCTGTTCTTAGTACAAACAGAATCTTCTTTATGAGAAATTAGTTCCTAAACTATTTGACAGAATCCTTACCTTAGGAACGTAATCCTCCGTACGTGCAATTGGAGCTTCACAATTTTTGCAATAGAAGAAATTACGATTACCGATAACTTGTCCATCAGCTATTAATTCTCGTTGCATTGTATCAACTTTGTGGATCAATCAACCTGTTGCAGAACAAATTTTCTTCAACAAAATGGAAGAGAAATATGAAAGATGAATCATCAATGGAAAGACTAACTGATTATGAATGTAACAAACAAGAACAGAGCTGCTGGAAAATGAATGTAACAAACAAGAACAGAGCTGCAAGCAAATGAATTTAATGGGACCTTCTTGATTCAAGAGCCAATTCCTAATAGAAAAAATCAATGGAAAAAAGGAGTAACTTCTCACCAGATAACAAATGTAATTAGAAATGCAGAAGACTGAATTTTATGGGATTCTTGAAGGTTTATATAGAAAATTCTGTTGTTGATTCTTGAATGCAAGTTGTGAACGATAATATTATTTTTTTCATTTTATTTGCACTCACATAAAATTTTATTCAGAGTAAAGACACCATTATGTACGTTTTTTTAGAAAATTATCCTTCTATAGTGGTCATACTTACAAATATTGTATAATAATAATGCTTTATAAAAAATATATTATGTATAAAAATAAAATATTTTGTCATGTTTGCTCATACATCAAAAAAAATTATTTTTTTGTGTCTCATTTTTTTTAATCGAGAAATGCCCGAGGATAAGTAGAGCAACGCTTAAAACTTTTACCCTCTCCACGAAAATACAATGATTTTGTCTACGGTGGAGTCAAAACCTTGATTTATGCTTAATTCATGTACCACTAACTTGATTCTGATTGCAAAACTAATCCTAAGTCAAAGGTCGACAAATTAAACTCAATGTCACTATTTTTGAACAACTATGAGTTGAGCCTTCTTTTTGCACTGTTATCTATATGAAAATAATGGTCATTTCGGATTCAATTATCAACTGTCCGTATCATAAATAGGATGGACTATTGATTCGGAAGGAAATGAATTTACATCTCTTTTCTATTCAATAATTCTTATTTAAACACCCCTTTTAAGACCCCGAAAACATTCCCTTTTTTAGGAACTAGGACCCACACTAGCATTGGATTTAGAAAAATGTCTGCAATTGAATCAGCCAATTACGACTTGCTTTGTAATCTCAAAATCAGAAGTACATCACACAATTATGAATTACAGTAGCATTTTGTAAAGTATGAACTCTATTCAGAAATTGTGTATCTTTCTAAATTTTGTTCAGCATGAGTAGGTTATCAATGTCTGTACTTTCATCAATTTTATCTATTCTATCAGACAGTTGATCTACATATTCATTCAATTCATTAACGGCCCCATCGTGATCATTAGCACCTCCAACTTGATCAGCATTAGCACCGTCATTTTGATCAGCATTAGCACCTACATCTTGATCATTAGGACCCTGCTGATTAGCACCTCCAACGAGGTCCTCATTATGCTGAAGCAACGTTGCATCATTATAGTAAATAAGCTTGTTCCTGCCGCCAAATACTCATTTGTATCAACACTTTACAAGTCATACTACATATGTGTACAGAAATTAGAGCTTACAATGTCATCACGAAATATCCGACTTTATAATTTCTGAACGGTTTGAGGACTGCAATATGGAGAAATCATAGATTCTTCTGTATTGAACATGCAACACACATTGCTTAGTGTCTAGACTCTAGATATATAAAACTGGATAGTAAAGCAAGTGAGGATCAGTATACTAAGACAGAGCACAATTAGGTCTGTCATAGGCAACTTTTCACTAAAGGATAATCAAGCATATCACTTAGAAGACAATTTATTAAGAAAAATGTCTGCATTTCATCATTAAATAATAGTTCATATGTCTGCCTTTAGATTAACTATTATCTATATTGTATGATCAACCAGTTGATCAGCATTTTCATTTAGTTTGTCGGTGCCTCAATCTCCATCGTTATCATGATCATCTGCCCCTCCACCTTGATCATGATGGTGCTCATTAGCACCTCCATCGTTATCATGATCATGTTCATCTGCCCCTCCACCTTGATCATGATCGTGCTCATTAGCACCTCCATCATCTTCTTCATACTCTTCATCTTCTTCATCTTGATCGTGCTCATTAGCACCTCCATCATCATGATTCTGTTCATCTACCCCTCCACCTTGATCATGATTGTGCTCATTAGCACCTCCATCATCTTCTTCATCTTGATCGTGCTCATTAGCACCTCCATCATCATGATTCTGTTCATCTGCCCCTCCACCTTGATCATGATCATGCTCATTAGCACCTCCATCATCTTCTTCATCTTGATCGTGCTCATTAGCACCTCCATCATCATGATTCTGTTCATCTGCCCCTCCACCTTGATCATGATCATGCTCATTAGCACCTCCATCATCTTCTTCATACTCTTCATCTTCTCCATCTTCATCAATATACATCAGCTTATTATTACAATCAACAAGTTCGAGCCTGCCACACACACAAAAATATCATATTGATACCTTACATATCATATTGCATTTGGCCTAATGGTAAGAAACTCACGCGTTCATCAAAAAATTTCCTTCTCTAAAATGCACAGTCCGGTTGCTATAAGGGACTACAATCTGAATAATAGATAAATATTTGTTAAAACGAACTGCAAATGAATAATACATTCAGCACGTACATAATATTAATTAGCAACTTACAAGTTTCATCCCAAGCAGCATTCCACATTTGACGCAGTAAGTATCAGCTACGGTATTTCCATTTACTTGTCTATGGTATTTCTCTTCATCCACTTGCACATTATACCTGCATTTACAAACAGAATAATGTTTAGGCAAATAACAAATTCGAAGTTGCTAAATGAAATCATGATACTTACATTTTATGAAAGACCACTGTCAACTCATAGTCCATCTGCAAAATTACAAGGCAAAAGTAACAATTTCATGACACAAATCGCAAGCAATTTCATCAAAATGTATACTTTGAATTGAAAAATGATATAATGTAAACGCAAGAAAGATGCTGAGAGAGTAAGAATCTATACGCTGTCGATGAAATCGTTGGCTAATCCAATTCCGGTTTTGCATATTATACAATGGATGACATCCTCTTTCGGATATTCATCAAAATCGACAAGATACAGAAATCCCATTGTATCAACTGTTACAGGACAAAAAACACATAACAAATGAAAAAGAATCAAATTGGAATGATGTAACAGAGATGATTGATAATGATAATTCAAAAAAAAAAAACACTAGCGACAAACCAGATAAAGAATGTACCAGTTTACTTCTGAATAAATAATTGATATAGAAAAATCAGTTCAGGAATGAATCGAGTTGAGAAGAGTTAAATGGGTTTTATAAGGGGTGAATGAAGTGTTTTTACGAAAAGACACCAAGAAAGAAAGGTTGCAATTTGAATAGCACCTTTTCACATGGAACAGGTTGTGACTTCTTCGATAAGTTGTGATTTTTCTGATGGTCGTGACTCTTTTGATGAGCCGTGACTTTTCCGAGAGATGGTGACTTATAAGGTTTAGCTATAAATTAAAAAAATTCTCTTATTTTTCTATATCTAATATCTAAGTTTTTGAACATATTTCTTACAAATAAATAAATATCGAGTCTTTGTCTGATTTACTACTGACATTAATTTCTGTTTTCGAGTAGACAGAAAGTTAGATCTTGAAGGTTAGAAGGGAAAGTTGAAATTGCTTCACGAACCCACAGAAAAAAAAATCTTATTTTACGAAGGTTGTGAAATTTGCCCCTTCACCAATGCACGACTTTTTGCGTTTTGCATTCGTATTCGTTTGTAGTTTAATTAATTTAAATTTATATTAAAAAATTTAATTAGAACATAAAATGTTTTTTTTTTTTATCAAAATTAATGCTAACAAATTGTGATCTCTTACTAAGGACGATGGATATATTTACCCCCACCAAAAACTTTAATATATAATACAATCTGAGGAAATATTTTGATGATAGTAATACACTTTCACCGAATATAAAGAACGAAACATTACCTTACCCCCACCAAAAATATTTTAATATATAATACCATATTAGGAAATATTTTGATGATAGTAATACACTTTCATCGAATGTGAAAAATGATAAATCATGCAGCATGTAAAGAACGATAGTATAAGAGCTAAAACATACCTTGTATCAATTTATATGGTATAACTCAGATTTAAGAGTAAAATTTTACTGTGAATTTAGATATAGAATGTTGAATTATTTTTATCATATTTGAAAATTATGTTAAAAAAATTATAATTTATAATAATTGAAAATTTGAAATATTTTAAAATCATAGAAGAAAAATCATGATAAAAGAACTAGTTTAACTCTCAAAATTTGAAACATAACGCATATATTAGGACGAAGGGATTAGTAAAACAGTTCGTGGTAGAAATCTACACTACTCATTTTAATTAGCATCCCTAGATCTTACAATCAACGGCTCATATTCAATTTTCGCCTCTCACATGGATCGACACTACCATCCGTCGATGACCAAGTAAATCCCCAAATAATAAGCGGCTACGATTTGTGCCCCGCCACATTTCAAACCAGCCCAATAAATATAAATACCCACCACCCAAAAGAGTTCACATCACCCAAATTCAAAACCCTAGAAACTTCTTCTTCATCAAATTTCTCTGTGAAAATGTCTGGTCGTGGAAAGGGAGGCAAGGGATTGGGAAAGGGAGGAGCCAAGAGGCACAGGAAGGTTCTAAGAGATAACATCCAGGGTATCACTAAGCCAGCTATTCGCAGGCTTGCTCGTAGGGGTGGTGTGAAGCGTATCTCTGGTCTCATCTATGAGGAGACTCGTGGAGTGTTGAAGATCTTTTTGGAGAATGTGATTCGTGATTCTGTCACCTACACTGAGCACGCCAGGAGGAAGACTGTTACTGCTATGGATGTTGTCTATGCTTTGAAGAGACAGGGAAGGACTCTCTATGGATTTGGCGGTTAGATTGGGGGTTGTATGTTGGTGCTATGGTGGTAGTAAATGTAGGTTTTAGTTTACAATTGCGTATAAGTCTGTGTTGGATCTCTGTAGTGTTGTTCTTATGCTCTAGATCTTGTAATTTCTCATTACATTATCAATGAACAGAGTTAGGTTTTGAGTACATTGATCGTCTTCCTGCTGTAGATTTATTTTTATTAATTTGTTGCTCTCAATGAATTATCATATGTGCAATTCTTCAGATCTTAAAAGAGAAACGAGGATATGAGTATGAGATCTAAAAGTAGTCAACTGTTTATATCAGAAATAAAACACTTGACATACTAGTTATTTGAATAGACGCTCTCTACAACATTTGATACAGTAAGTATTGGCTAGATTTTGTACTTGATGATATCCCTTGTCCTCTGCTACTTCAACATTAAACCTGCATATATAACACATATATAAAGGTCTGTAACATATGCGTTTACACCTCGAAACTGCATAAAAAAAGTTTAAGCTTGTTGTAAAACCCAATTTCCAAACATGAGACTTACACATTATTAAAGATGTATGTATGATTGATATCTGCAAAATATACAAGACAAGAAAATGGGCATAGTAAGTTGTTCTGTGCTCAAGAATATAACAGAGTGCTGAATTCATGATACAAATAGCTGTCAAAATTAAGGATCGAATCTTACATGTCCTCTTTGTGAAATGAATAGCAATTTTATCAAAAGAGACAATTCAGATCAGTTAAAGAACAACTACTCATTTGTGCCTCCTTGTTCATCATTAGGAACCTGTTCATTAGCACCTTCATCTTGATTATTAGGACCAATCTGGCTTCTGCCACAAATTACTCATTATTAGAACATCTTACAAGTCACACCACATATGTGTAGAGTCTTAATCTAAAAACTTGTAGTTAGAAACTTACAATCTTATAATGAATACTCCTTCTCTAATAAACATGCTAGGTTTGACGATTGCAATCTAGAGAAATCATAAATTCTGTAAGAAAAAAATTAAAAAAGAAGAACAAAATCGTTCTTTGGTACTTACAACTTTCCACCCTAGCAGGTTTCCACATTTAATACAGTAAGTGTCGGCTACGGTTCTGCCATCTTCTTCTACTTGATGATATCGCTTGTCCTCTGGTACTTCAACATTAAACCTGCATATATAAAGGTTTGTAACATATGTGTATATGCCTCAAGACTGCAGAAAAAAGTTTAAGCTCGTCTGTAAAACCCAATTTCCAAACATGAGACTTACACATTATGAAAGACCCATGATACAATCTGCAAAATGTACAAGACAAGAAAATGAGCATAGTAAGTTTCTTTGCTTAGTCAAGAATATAACAGAGGGCTGAATGAATGATACAAATAGCTGTCAAAATTGAGTATTGAATCTTACATGTCCTCTTTATGAAGTGAATTGTGCAATTTTATCAAAAGAGACAATTCGGAACAGATGAGACCAATTAAGAAGAAATTAATACATTTACTTTGGAGTATCAAAGAAAATGTCTGTAGCCCACAGATGACAGAACCATTTGGTGTGTTGATAATAAATTGCAAGAAATAATGATGCAGTGAGAGTGGGAATTCATACAGAAGTAGCATGGAGATCCCCGATGAATCCAACTTGAGTTCCGCAGATACGACAATTGATGCAATCATCATCAGGGATTTCATCGTAGTGAAGTATAAAGGGCCTTCCCATTGTTGAATGAAGAACCAACTCCTAATAGATATGTTACAGAAACAAATATCACAGGTGAATTGCTGAACTATGAATGGAAAAAAGACAAACTGATTATGAATGTAAAGAGAACAGAGATGATGGAAAATGAGAATTCAAGAAAGTAAAAAAATGGCTGGTGGTTAATACTTTTGAAAAATTAGTTCTTGATTCTTGAATGAATCAAGTTGAGAAGATCTTCAAAATGTCTGAAATACCCTTTAAGTTGTTAACATGATGAAAAGTTGATTAATTTAAGGTTTTTATACTTTAAAACAAAATTAATTTATATTTTACATCCATAAGTAATAATATTTTCCTATCATTCACATATTTCTTTACCACCACAAATTATTTATAAGAGGAATAATAATAATAATAATAATAATAATAATAATAATAATAATAATATAATAAAATAATAATAATAATAATGATAATAATAAAATAATAATAATGATAATAATAAAATAATAATAATGATAATAATAAAATAATAATAATAATAATAAAATAATAATGATAATAATAATAATAATAAAATAATAATAATAATAATGATAATAATAATAATAAAATAATAATAATAATAATGATAATAAAATAATAATAATAATAATAATAATAATAATAATATAATAATAATAATAATAATAATAATAATAAAATAATAATAATAATAATGATAATAATGATAATAATAAAATAATAAATAATAATAATATAACAATAATAATAAAATAATAATAATAATAATTAAAAAAATAAAATAATAATAATAATAATTCAATATGGGCAATTTGGAAATTGTATAAAAGAATTAAGGGCAAAAAGGTAATATACTTGGTCAACATAAAAGAGCTTTTAAGTTAAAAAAAAAAAAAAAAAACTCCCCTCACCTAGCTTTTAGCTTTTGGCTTAAAATAAGTCATTTTTGACTTAAAATAAGTCACTTTGATAATTGTCAAACACTCTAATAAGTCAAAAACTGGCTTTTAAGCTAATTTGACCAGCTTAAAAGCCCATCCAAACAGGCTCTTAGTACATCTTTACTTTTTTTTCGTTTACTTATGACAAGTACAGGTCTTCTCATAAGTGACTCTATTGGTCTAATTTCAGCAACGGAAAAGGGTTATATTCACCTCTCTATTATAAAAAATAAGCTTTGTTTGCCCTCCATCATACTTTTTGAACAAAATATACCCCTATAGTTGTATTTTAGAGTTATATTTACCCTTCACCCATTAAAACTTGTTTCAACTTTAAAAAGTCTTGTATATCTCGTGTTCTTGTTATAGAAATGGTCCTCTCCTCTTGTTGAGGATTCACTTCTTGAGAAATCAAGTTTCTACTTCCTCTTCTCCTTAGTTTAACACTAATGTATTTCAATTGGATCTACAAAATGAAACGTTTAATCCAGACCAAGAACAGGATATGTATTAGCTCTTAAACCTTTTGGCAGCAAGTGTTTTTAGACCAAGTGTTTAAAGATTTCAGAAGGTCACACATTTGCAATACATTAGGCAATTGAACCGCAGAAAGCAGAAACCCAAATAGCATATGCTACTAGTCATTATCAAAACAGTTTTCCCATCCTTAGAGAAAGGGGAGAAAACAGAAGCCGAGATGCCTAATAGCATACAGACTGTCAGAGCTCGAAAGCAGTAAATATGCTCCAAATATTGCAGATTTAGAGATTTCAAATGAAACAGATACCAAGCCTTGCATATTACTACAAAATGACCATATTGCTTTTACCCTTTCTAAAACATTTGCCACATGCTGAACCCTTAGATGCAGAAAGCAATTGAATTGAACAAAAAGTGGATTATGTTATCTGCTCATAACTTCAGGATAAGAGTAAAAGCTATTGAATCCACAATTCTCAGCATGTCTGTTAAAATCTAACTTCACCACATATTCGCATCAAGAAATAAGCAGCATTTAGAGAACAGTAGTATCAATGCTCAAACAGGTAAAAAGTTCAATGTCAATTGCTTTGTTCCAACCTGAAGTATTAATATGATCCCAAAATCAAAAAGAGAAAAAGAAATATCACACAATTATACATTAGCATTGTGTAAAGTATGAACTCTATTTCAGAAAGTGTGTATCTTTCTGTATTTTGATCAGCATGGGTAGGCTATCAATGTCTGCATATTCATCAATATGGTCTATTCCATCTTGGTCTAAGTCTTCTTGGTCTCACTATCCCGGCTCGATGTTGACCACGATTCTGTTCATTAGCGACTCCGTTTTGAACAGCATTAGCACCTCCATTAGGAGCCTGTTCATTAGCGACTCCATTTTGAACAGCATTAGCACCTCCATTAGGAGCCTGTTCATTAGCAACTCCGTTTTGAACAGCATTAGCACCTCCATTAGGAGCCTGTTCATTAGCGACTCCATTTTGAACAGCATTAGCCCCTCCATTAGGAGCCTGTTCATTAGCGACTCCGTTTTGAACAGCATTAGCACCTCCATTAGGAGCCTGTTCATAAGCGACTCCGTTTTGAACAGCATTAGCACCTCCATTAGGAGCCTGTTCATTAGTGACTCCGTTTTGAACAGCATTAGCACCTCCATTAGGAGCCTATTCATTAGCGACTCCAAAGACAGCATCACGCAACGTTTCACCACTCTGGTATATAAGCAGCTCCCTGCCACAAAATATTCATTTGAATTAACACCTTACAAGTCATACTACAGTCTCAATTTGCAAATTTGTAATTAGAAACTTACAATTTCATAAAGTATCTTCCTACTACAAAATACTCCGACTGTTGGATAGTCCTAACCTGAAGAAATCATAAATTCTGTATTTTAAGAAATATAGAGAGCAACCAAATCAAATGCTTTTTAATATTAGTATCTTACAAGTCGCCAGCCGAACCACATTTGACATTGGACACAGTAAATATTGAGTAGGGTATTTCCATCACGTCGTTCTAGATGACCTTGGTGATTAATTGGTGCACTATAATGAAACCTACATATAATACACAAACCTCAGAAAAAAGCTTAGGCAAATCATAATTTCATAAAATACCCAATTTTCAAAATCATGAGACTTACAATCTATTAATGTACCCTCCATACACTAAGTCATCCGCCTGCAACGTGTACAAGACAAGGACATGAACATAATGAGTCAAGAATTAAGGGTTGATGCAGAGAGAATCCTTACATTAGGAATGAAATCCTCGATGAATGCAACTCGAGTTTCGCAGAAATAGCAAAGGATGCAATCATGCATGCTGATTAGATGATCGGAAACTCCAAAACGGGACATTGTGGATTACAAAACAAATTTTCTTCAACAAAGAACAAAGTGGAAGAGAATTATATCAACTGCTGAAAGAATCAATGGAGAAAAAAAAAAAGACCGGTGGAAAATGAGAATTCAAGAAAGGAGAAAAATGTAAATAT